ATCCAAAGTCTCCCTTGTTCGGTGTTCTACATCGCTTTTTCCCACCTTGAATTTTTCATTTCCAGTTTTAATTTAAATATTTTCCTCTTCTATAACCTTGATTTTGACAGGTTCCGCTGCCTTGAAATTACCTTGATAGGTACTTAGACTTCTAGTACCAGGTCATTGAGATCTACAGAAACATTTTCTTTTCAGGGTTCCTCTTTTTGACTAAAAAAAGGACAAAGTGGTTAAATAACGACATTAGAGTACAGCTGGACGTAGAAACTTAGTATGTGTCAAGGCCCAATCCATATATGTATAATCAACCCTTAAGCACTTTCATATTATACTGTACAAAGAATAAATAGAAACATAGAAATAGAATCATATGTTATAAAAATCAAAACAAATAGTGCAAGAATTCTAATGTAAAATAAAGAACATAAATGAAGTGAGTGAATGTTATTTTACAAGTGTTACTTTCAACAAAACTTCATTTTTAAACTTATCAAATGGTCCTTCGAGCCGGATTAATTGTGCACAGCATCTATTGTAAGTCCATTTTATCAATTCCTACAGTTTGAAAATTACTGTTTTCCACCAAGGAATCAACAGATTCACATTGTGCTGTTTTCCTATCCAAGAATCAACAAGTTACACAATCACAGTCTAAGCTTTGGGATATTGGACCTGAATTCACATATCTTATTCATTTTTTGTTCTTTTGGCCCTTTTCAATTACTTTACCTTGTATGTACAGCCACAATTGGTCCCATTGTTAGACCACAACAATTCAAGCTAGTTTCTTCTAACCCACTTCTAGTAACATGACGGATAAAGTAGTTAAGAAACTATAAAGCCAACTTGAAGCGGTCCAGTTTAGTAGAAATTGTACTTTGAAGAAAATAGACAAAGTTTATAACCTAGGCTTAAGCTCAGGAATAACAACCGAGTCTGAAGATTGTGAATCCTTTAAAATTCGTAGTGCGTCCATTCATGAGTTATTTGAGGAATATAACACACTCCAATCAGAAATAATTGCTTAGAAAAGTCAATTAGATGAATTAGATTAAAGTGAAGTAGAAGAGCTCTCTGATAGTGTTAGTGACAAATATTACTACATTTTAACTGTTATATCAAAGAATGCCCCTCCCGAAATTGAACAAGTACAACCACTTAGTTCTAGATCTGAAACTAACCATTTGCCCGTACAAAGCCAAGCAAAGTTACCTAAATACATTTTCTGACAATTGCAAAGAATGGCCCAAATTTAAGGATTTATTTAGACAACTAGTGCATGAAAATAAACCATTGTCAAACTTTGAACGGTTCATGTACCTTATTGGCTCATGTACAAACGATGCATTGAGGTTAGCAAAGAATCTCCCCATAACTGATGTCAATTATACCATTACTTGGCAAAGTTTTGTATCTAGATTTCAAAATAAGCGTAAACTTGCTACATGTTACTTGGATGAAATACAAAACATATCTCCAGTAACTTCAAAATCTCCAAAGGCTTTGAGAAACTCCATTGATACCTTATCTGAAAATACAAGTGCCTTAAAAACACTAGGCCTACCTGTTGAGCAATGGAGCTTTCTCTTGCTTCACAGTGTTGGTTGCAAAATTGATCATAAGATGCGCACTGATTTTGGACCTAAACATTCTGATATTGAATTGGCTACTTTTTATCAATATTTGAGTTTTCTAGATGAACAGTGTAGAGCTCTTGAAACTATTCAAACTTCTGTGACCGAAGTTTCCACAAATATAAGCAACAGTATAAGCCTACGCAATACACTAATAATAGGCCTTATTTTCATCAAAGAGCCTGTGTATTGAATGTCTATGCAATAAAGTGCTTATTTTGCAAGGAAGCTAACACAATTTATAAATGCGAACGTTTTGGACGACAAACTCCTGCTCAGCGTAGGGATTGGATTAAAACACAAAATGCTTGTTTTAATTGTTTACGGACCTCGCTTAAACTAAATGAGTGTACTTCGAAAACTAGCTGTTTTAATTGTGGAGCAAGACACAGCATTTTACTACATAATGATGATATTGGCCTAACCAACAAGGCTCAGGTTAAGTCAAGTCCCTTGCATGCATGCAGCAGTGTTAGTCTCCTTTAGTTTTGTTAGGAACTGCTTTAATTCATATAAAGGATAGATCAGGTCAATTCCAACCAGTTAGAACTTTGATTGATTCTGGATCTCAGAATTCCTTTATAACTGAAGATTGTTGTCAGCGCCTGTGCCTTCCTCGAAAGAAATTCAATGAACATTTATCTGGTATTGCAGAATCTACTGTTTTATCTACTAAAGGAGTTGTATCGTGCACTCTGAAACCTCGTTTTGATTCTGAACTTCGCCTTCAGACTAATGCTGTGATTCTGAAGAAAATTACATCTCAAATGCCTTCTACCTCCCTTCCAGAATGTATCAAAGACGAATATAAACATTTACAACTTGCAGATCCTACTTTTGACGCACAAGGAAAAATTGAATTTTTGTTGGGTTGCATACTTGTACCCTGAGGTAATGAATGGCAGGTGGATGCCATAATGTTTTTGATAAATTGATAAAATTAGGCTTATTATTAGTGTATTGCGTAGGCTTATACGGTTTGTTTTTGGAAACTTCAGTCACAGAAGTTTGAATAGTTTCAAGAGCTCTACACTGTTCAGTATGGGTTGTCTAAAGAAAGGTCTTGGTCCGTAAATATGTCTTCAAAAGAGAAACGTGGTAAATTCCTTTGGGGTTCTGCCCAAGTAGCCTTTAAAGTTAACTCCCTGTGTTGTTTTTAAGAAGGAAAGATTTAATTTCTTTTTCTCCTCTAAATTGTGAGAATGTTTATGCGTAGGGAATGAATGGTCTTTGTCTGTAGATATATCATAAAAAGAGTTTTGCGGATCACACTGGAGCCTGCTTTTCCACTCCAGAAAAACGAGGTCATTTACATACTTTTCCTACAGTTTCCTGACAAGATGGGCTTCCTTGAACTGATTTTAGCACGCAAAGTAGCTAACTGCTGCATTTACTCACTTTTGTGGCACTCATTTTCTTTTGCCGTACTCTAGTATTTCAACCAAACAACACAAACAGTGTGCTTTTAAATAGGCACGTTATTACGTGTACGATTGAAAAAATTGGCAACACTTAAAAATACTACGAATACGATCAGCGTGCAATGTTTCACATTTCGTACAAAGCTTGGATTTAACCTGACCTAAAACGTGTTGTTTAGGGTTTATAAGACTAATTAATTTAAGAAAACAAAAGAGCCCTTTTAATGAAGAGAAAAAAAAAATACTTGTAGAAATTAAAACTAAAGCTACATCTCAGTTTAAGAAATAAAAATTAGTAAGCGGTATTGATATTTGTATTTTCTTGTTAAATTTTACATTAGACTCTGTAAAAAATAAAGTTTTTTTTAACAGAATCAGTATCGTAATTTTTACTTTATGATGAATCTAATTGTTATGGCCGCTTCTTCTCCCAGAATAATAACACATTAATAACACATTAAATGGGTTAAACTACTTTTGATTGATAATTCAATACAATTATCTCATTTCATTTTGCCAACCGACGACTTAACAGCTACTTTTAGGTGTAAGACAAAGTAAAGGTTTAAGGCGATTTCTCTCTTTCTGTGGCATTATTATTTATGGAGTCACGCAATTGTTTCTAAAACACTTTGTCCCTGAAGTGAGAAAGTTTTAATGCTTGGTTGTTGAGGATGTTAAGGGCCTAAATGATCACCACATTTTCTCCGTCTCCAAAACAACTCGTACTCTTAGTACTTTGTTACTACTCAAAGAAGAATAATCTTTGGGAAATCACTTTTCTGAATTTTGCTATTTATTAGTTCTATTTTTTTTCTTAACAAAAATAATAATTTGAGTCCTGTAATGATCCTACCAATTTGTACGACTGGTTATAAGCATCAAACTTATATGATTTCTTGTTAGTAGGCTTCAGACAGTTCACAGTTTATAATTATACTTCTGGACATTGTTCTGGAACATTAGCGGATTACCCTGAATCAAGCTCCATGTCTTCTTGGGAAAAGCAAGTCAGTATGTTGTGCATGTTTTGAAACAGCCCCAGGAATTTTCTCCTATTTACGTGGTTCTCGACGAGCACAGGGTTGGTTCATCACCCTCCGTGCAGTTCTACTACCTTTTGACAGCTTTGCCGTACATCCATAGCCATACATCCATGGCTCTGGTACGAAACTCTCCAGATTCTTGGCAGCTCTGACATACATCTTTGGCTCTGGTACGAAACTCTCCAGCTTCTTGGCAGCTCTGCCATACATACATGGCTCTGGTACGAAACTCTCCGCCTTCTTGGCAGTTCTGTCATACATCCATGGCTCTGGTACGAAGTCTTTAGCTTCTTGGCAGCTCTGTCATACATCAATGGCTCTGGTACGAAACTCTCCAGCTTTTTGGTAGCTCTGCCATACATCCATGGCTCTGGTACGAAACTCTCCAGCTTCTTTGCAGCTCTGCCATACATCCATGGCTCTGGTACGAAATTCTCCAGCTTCTTGGCAGCTATACCATACATCCATGGCTCTGGTACGAAATTCTCCGCCTTCTTGACAGCTCTGCCATACATCCATGGCTCTGGTACGAAACTCTCCAGCTTCTTTGCAGCTCTGCCATACATCCATGGCTCTGGTATGAAATTCTCCGCCTTCTTGACAGCTCTGCCATACATCCATGGCTCTGGTACGAAACTCTCCAGCTTCTTTGCAGCTCTGGTATACATCCATGGCTCTGGTACGAAATTCTCCGCCTTCTTGACAGCTCTGCCATACATCCATGGCTCTGGTACGAAACTCTCCAGCTTCTTTGCAGCTCTGGTATACATCCATGGCTCTGGTGCGAAACTCTCCAGCTTCTTTGCAGCTATACCATACATCCATGGCTCTGGTACGAAAGTCGCTAGCTTCTTGGCAGCTCTGTCATACATCCATGGCTCTGGCACGAAACTCTCCTCCTACTTGGCAGGTCTGTCATACATCGATGGCTCTGGTACGAAACTCTCCGCCTTCTTAGCAGTTCTGTCATACATCCATGGCTCTGGTACGAAACTCTCCGCCTTCTTAGCAGTTCTGCCATACATCCATGGCTCTGGTACGAAACTCTCCAGCTTCTTTGCAGCTCTGGTATACATCCATGGCTCTGGTACGAAATTCTCCGCCTTCTTGACAGCTCTGCCATACATCCATGGCTCTGGTACGAAACTCTCCAGCTTCTTTGCAGCTCTGCCATACATCCATGGCTCTGGTATCAAATTCTCCGCCTTCTTGACAGCTCTGCCATACATCCATGGCTCTGGTACGAAACTCTCCAGCTTCTTTGCAGCTCTGGTATACATCCATGGCTCTGGTGCGAAACTCTCCAGCTTCTTTGCAGCTATACCATACATCCATGGCTCTGGTACGAAAGTCGCTAGCTTCTTGGCAGCTCTGTCATACATCCATGGCTCTGGCACGAAACTCTCCTCCTACTTGGCAGGTCTGTCATACATCGATGGCTCTGGTACGAAACTCTCCGCCTTCTTAGCAGTTCTGTCATACATCCATGGCTCTGGTACGAAACTCTCCGCCTTCTTAGCAGTTCTGCCATACATCCATGGCTCTGGTACGAAATTCTCCAGCTTCTTGGCAGCTCTAGAGAAAGTGAGCCTAGAGAAGTGAGCCTAGAGAAAAAAATTAAAAATAGGATACACAGATAATCTAGAGAAGCTCACCTTTTCCTTTTTTTTAGTTACTTTGGTAGGTTTTCGACAAAAGAATCCATCGGACTATCCCATTGCTTTTTCAGTTCTTTCGCTGGTCTTTCAACGACAGCTGATGTATCATTCCATGCATCCATTCTCTTCATCTTGTGGAAATGCAAAGGGTGCGACAAGTCCCACAAAATCGGTCGATTCTTATATTCATGAGTTCTCTGCTGACCACTCCATGATGTAATTTCAAATCAAATCTTCCAAAGTCACCAAACAAAACAAACCACGCGTAGACATAATAATTTAGATTTAATCACAAGCAGACAACTTTTTATATTTACAATGGAGTTTTACAACTGATCCTCCGTAATTTTCTATTATTCTTATTCGACATTTAATGTAGAACACAAAAATGACATTATCTACTCAAATCCATATACTGGTAATTGAAAAACCGCCGTGTTAAGTTTAAAAACATAGCTATTTTTGAAAAATATAAAATAATTCTTTGGAAAGCTAATTTTTAGACTTGGAACCTGTTATATTCATCATGTCACTGCATTTACTTTGTACTTACACCAAAAAAAATTGGTCACACTGAGTACCAATCACCCTGTATTTAAATAGAATTAAAGAATCTTAACAGCTGGTTCAACTAAACAATGTTATTCTATGGTGTTCAATAGCATTAAAATTTAATAGGTTTACCAACAGGGTGCAGCACTATTATTTTTTTTTAAATTAATGACAACAGCTAATTTGCAATCAAAAGGTTATTGAGCGTAGCGAAAGCAAACGAGCTCACCTGAAGGCAAGTGAGCGCAGCGATTGAGCTCCAACCTAAAGGTGAGTAAGCGTAGCAAACGAACTTCAACCAAGACATGATTGAGCCATGCGAACGAGCTCATCTTGAAAATGAACGAGCATTGACATAAAACCACATTAGAACAGGACGACGTCTGTCGGGCCAGCTAGTAGACTAATATTATTCAATATTCAAAGCAAATTAACCGTATTTTAGCTCTCTAGCTAATGTTGACTATGAGTATTTACCAATGCTTGAGCAGGTATATTCAGCAAAAAATGTGGACAGCCGCCATTTTGATGAACCTTTTGAGACGCAGTTTCGAGCAATGAACTCCCCTTAACAAGCCCTTTAAAATTATGTGCATATCAACCTATGCTTACATTAAAGATTGTGTACCTACTCCTCGTGGGTCGTCTCCTGGTGGAGGTCAAAAAATGGTAATGCTTGCAAAAGTTGATGTAAAAGATTTTAATTTTCTAACGGATTTAGTTAGAAAGATATTAATCCATTTCCAGACTTTATTGTCACCCTTTATAGGTAATAGAAAAGAGGGAAGTTCGTTAATTTTTGCCATTCTCTTAAGTTTACAAGAAAAAACGTAGATCACATTGGTTAGGGATCGAAAGAGAAAAAGATCCTGAGAATTCTATGGTGAAACAATTTTAATATTACAAGCTAGTAAATAAATTTAAAATCTAAGGTAAACATTAATTTATTACAGGTGTAATACTATATTACATACATATAAATTTAACGCAATGGAAATCGTTATCCTAATTTTGGTTTTAAAATCTGTTTAGAGTTTAGTTTGAGATGTACGTAAGTCTAAATCTTTATCAAACATTTCAGGTAAATGTTGCGAAGAACCATAGCATTAAGGACAATTTTGAAAAGTTGTGAAAATGGTGCTAGAAGACAGTGTAGCCGAGCGCCGCACCTCGGTCTTGCGTTACGCCTGCAATTTGCCAGGACATGTTTTACTAAAACATTGTGGTGCATTCCACTTCGCAGAGGAGGCCACAAATGGACATTTCAACGCATGTTGTCACAATGGACTCATTAACATGCCACAACCTCAATTAAATGACGAACTAAAAGAAATAAAAAAAAAAAATATTATGCGGAAAGTCTTTTGCGTGGCTTTCCGCTACACAGAAAGAGATTCCGGGAAATGGGCCTGGCTGTTTTAAAGTTCAGGGACAAATTCATAGATATGGAGACAGTTCCAAAACACCTGTAGAAATATATAATTAAATTTTTTTCATTTTTTTATACCTACTATACAGTATATCTAGGGTTTAGCTCAAATGAGTGTTAGCAGATAAGCCATAAATTTAAAGTACGACCGAAATTATTAGACCGATGAACAGAATTTGTTCGTCACAAATAGCTACAAAACGTATGTCATTAAGTAGCAGTGAAGAATAACATTCTATTAATTTATGGATAAACCCATTTTGTATACATAAGATTACCGCCTGTCTGCAATGTTTCACAACTCACCTTGAGCTATTCCATTACTTTCAGTCTTCTGTTTCTCGTAAAACTTGACTAACTTATCTCCGACGGTATAGACGTGATCTGCCTCCTCATTTTTCACCGGGAGGAACTTCTGAAGCAAAGTTAGTGACTTCATTTAAGGAATGGAAAATACGAAGAAATGACTGGAATTACAAATTAGTATATTATATCAACATTTATACTGTAGGGTGTTTTAAGTGCGTAAAGTTTAAGTAAAATATTTTCTTGGATAGTTTTAAGCTATTTAAACTTAATATGGACTCAAAAAGAGGTTGTAAAAAAGGAGGAACATTTTATTATTAATAAAAAGTTTTATCTATATTACCTTTCCCAATGGTTATTTGTGTAAATACTGTGTAAAGTGGCACTTTGCACTCGCGTTTCACACTATATATTTAATAAAGTACAAAAATAATTAGTATCTCAAACACTATACGATACATTTTTAGGTTATTACATCCAAGCGTTAAACGAAATGGGAGTGCTGCACTTGCTGATCGTAGTCGTAGTATCTTGAAGTAGTGCTAAACTATTTTGAAGCGTACACGTATTACTTGCCTAATAAAACAACACTGTTTTGTATTGTTTGGTTGGAATACTTGAGCTTGGCAAAAGTAATTGCAGCAATTAACTACTTTGCGTGCTATAATCAGTGCAAGGAAGCCCACTTTTTCAGGTAACTGTAGGTGTGATTTCATTGCGTATTACATTGCCGGAAATAGTTTATATGTGTCCATCAGTAAAATTGAGGGGTTTTGAACGATTCCTTCTTCAATTGGCGCATGGTTGATCGAATTGACATTGGAATTTCAACATTTTACTACAACTAAGTACTATTTGTTACAACCGATTTAATATTTATTATTTTATTTTTACGCCTTAAACCTTTATTGATGGTTAACTATAACTTTCCGTTTTTGTCGGTTTTCAAAAATAAAAACAACAATATTCACTTGACATGCCAACTACGACAACTAGTTTTATGAATGAGTCAATCGTGGTGATCCGTTTAAACATTTCCCCCGAGATGTGCTTTCTAAATTGAAAAACACAAAGGCTATCACAATACGAGAGAGTGATAACATTTACAGCACATGGATAAAGCTTCCGGAACATTTGGTTACACAGACGACTTCACTTAAACACGGTTCTAGTGTGAAGTTCAAATAGCGTTTCATGAATGTAAATTTCAACCATAAATTGTTGAAGCGTAGCTATAAAATCAATTTTTTTAATAAATCATAATTGTATATCCACTCATATTTTTGTTACTCTGAATTAAAGTTTATATTACTTATTCGGCGTGTACTTACATATTTTCCAACAACTGACCCAATTAGAAAAAAATATGGTAATAGTAATTGCATGTTTGGTAACTCAAAAACTTCTTTAGTTCAGGATTGATCCCTAAATATTCCACTTGATATAATTGGTTTATTGAACAGCAAAGTAGCTGTAAGAGGTTTTTACATTTTGCTTTTTGCTGTAAAGCTATTAACATATTCGGTATAAACCTATAAAAAATTGTTTCTTTACAAATACATGTTAAGTTTAAAAAATAATCCGTAAATTGATTTTAAAACAAAATTACTGTATGCTGTGGATAATATTTTTTTTCAAATTGACTTCAGAATTAAATAGGTTATTTTAGTGAACACGCCACCTCTTTTCCTAAATAAAGAAACATATTAAAACATAAAAATACGCCTCCATCTGTTTTGTGTTTTTACCCCGCTGGAGCACGGGAAAAGCATCTATTAAATTTATAAATACAGGGTGAATCTTCTAAGCTGTCCTAAACAGATTACAGACGAACGGCTTGACATACAGAGATGAAACAAAACTTTTCCCCACTAATTCATACCCAAGGAACAACGTAAAAATATATTTACAATTTTTAAAATACAGGGTGTTCAAGAAACTGGGGGTCATGGGTTCGAATCTCAGAGTTTTCAAATGTAAACATATGTCATGTTATGCATCATTTTAAAGCTCTAGACTAGACAAACAATTTAGTGAAAACGGAACTCATTTATCTTTGTCCGTTTCAAAATGGCGGCCATTTTTATAGGAAATATTGATACTTACAGAATACCCTGTATCTTGACAACCACTAAACTTATTTTCGTTCTGTTTAAAAATTCTTAATCCTCTTAGGTTCAGCTTTAATTTGATATACGACAAGTCAACATTTAAAAAACTAAATATTTTTTCTATGATTTTAATTTTTTTTTAAGTTGGTAGCCTTGTAAATGAAAATTTTTAAATGGCAACATATGTAAAATTGTGTATCATTTTTAAGGTCTTGTAAAAACGAACAACTTTTAAATTTAAACCTACCGCCTATCTTTGGTCGTTTTCTAGTAATTAACCAAAAACTCCAATTTCCCATATAAAACCCATGTTAAACGTGCAGTAC